ACTAATTGACATAATAATCATTACTTACCTTTTGATTTACAACCATTCACGACACACTTCGATAGATTTTTGGGTGGCATTTGAAAATAATTAATCAGTCTTTATTTTAATCACGATTAAAAATATTAATACACAACTACTGTATTATAATACACAACACAGGTCACAGATGTGAGATGTTAAAGATGTGTAGTGTATAAGATAATTGACATTTGACCAACGACAATTTTAATTTTAAACTTCCAACGAGAAATAAGACAGATATACAGAATAAGAATAACGATTAACGCAGTCAAACCGTTAACGGAATAAGCGAGCGCTCACCGCCAGAGCAGCAGCACGACCGCCGCCGCGACATGCAGCGCTAATGGTGGTTGTACGATAAAACTATACGGTACAAAACGCTCCTATAGAGTTGCACCAGCCCACAGATATATAAACATATATATGTTTATATATCTGTGCACCAGCCTGGGTTATTCAATTGGCATATTCCATAGACATATAAAACAACTAGATAGCCGGCTACGGGATAATATTGAAGTCAGCCGCCATATGCCAACAGGGCAATGTTTACAAAATCGCATGGTTRATAAGAATATTTATTAATGATAACAAAATTCATATTAATATTTGTACTGTAGTATTGTATATTATGTACTTATTACTACTTTATGTAATTTAATTTGTAGTTGACATTTTGAAAATAGAATATGAAAAGAAATTCGTTTTTTTCATTATTTGAATTATTATTTATTATCACTTATCAATATAGGTATCTTATCTATTGAGTTTTTATGTAAACATTGCCCTGTTGGCATAACAGTAATTCACAGTCGGCTATCTAGTTGTTTTATATGTCTATGGCATATTCATATGAGCAAAACAACGCAGCTGATTCGCGCGGACGACCGCTTGTGTCCGCTCTTGTTTAAATTTCGGGCGGTCGACCGCTACCGCTTGATAAAATTAAACCGTGTATTTCCAATGGACATATGCACATGAAGCGTATTGTCCGCGGCGGATCGCGGACGTGATTACGATTGAACGGGTTAATTTTATTTAAAAAATTATGATTGAAGTGTGGTTAATTTTTTCTGGGCCACTGAAGCTAGGTTTAAAATGATTGTATTCTACCTTTTATTATTTGAAAGCCCATTTACTTGGTACCCACAAATGTGGATGGGCAAAGCCGCACATGCTAACCTCATTTAGACCTGAACACAAAACTCGTAAATTCATTGCTCCAATTTTACATTTTTAATAACTATTCAATAATAATCGAGAGTATATTTTAAACATAAGTTTAAACATCATGCCAAGTTGACACAGACCGAGGCAGGTAGTGTCATGTTGAAACCAGTGCTAAAAATACACTCTCGAATACAGCTACGGATACTCCCTTGATGTCTGGGTGACACTATTCTGCCGGAATTCATTGGTTACGTTACTATTTTTTCTTTTTTCAATTTTAATATTAATTTAGGTATTTCGTTTTTTTTATTAAAATTGTAAAATGTTCRATATTGAACAATTTATTGTTGAAATCCAACAAAACGAATGTATTTGGAACAAACGTAAGTACTGCATTGATTATTCATAAATTTATTTATTTATATATTTATAAATAATAATAATACCTACTTACAAGTTATAATTATTAGGAATGCACTTAAAAAGTACTTTATAGTTTATATGAATGAACTTATAATTATTAGGAATGCACTTAAAAAGTACTTTATAGTTTATATGAATGAACTTATGCACATGTTATAAAATATGCACTTTTTTTTACTCACGATTTTCATAAATACACATATTTTAATAAAAATATTTTTTATATTTTATAAATTACCTCCTACCTATAATAAATTGTTGTTATAAATTATAATTATGTATTTAGAGGAAAAAAGTCTTCATGATATACAGGTAATCCACGTGGGATGGACAAATGTGGCAAATGTTTATGTTGACAACTAYAATGAGCTGAACGACAAATTAAAAATGGAAAAAGGTAAAATTGGAATTAATATAATTATAAAAAAGGCTTGTATAGTGAATTAGTGAATAGTGATTCAAGTTTATTACATAAATATAATATAACATAATGTTAAAATAATTTAATAAAAAATAGATTACCCATGATATTATGATCCCGATATTATTTACCAATAATTTTGTTTTGCCAGCCAAGTGCGTGATTTGGGTTATTCACATACGTCACAAAGTATTCTCTGACATCCTTTGCACTAGTCTGTGAATTTCTAACACCTACTCTTTCTACTAAACTTTCCATAGGGTTATTCTGACTGTCTTCAAAGTTATTGTCTTCACCGTCTCTGCGTCGTACGAAGTTGTGTAAGACATAACAGGCTTTCGTTATTGTGACTGCTACATTTGGGTCAACTAACATACTTAATTGAAATAAACGCCATTTTTTCGACAATATTCCAAATGTGCATTCTATATATTGGCGGGCTCTTGATAAGCGATAATTAAAAATCCTTCTGTTATTATTTTAAGTTCTGCCTGGAAACGGTCTTAGTAAGTGTTTGTGCAGCGCAAATGCTTCGTCGGCTACTAAAACAAACGGTTGTGGCACTCCATTTTCATCGCCAGGTAAACATCGATCTGATGGAAAATTGGCCTTATTAGAATACAATTTTTTACCAAAAGTTGAAGTTTTGAAGAAGTTGCAATCGCTTTCTTTGCTGTATGACCCAACATCAATGATCCGAAAACAATAATTTGAATCACAAATGGCCATTAGAATCAAAGAAAAAAAGTTTTTATAATTATAGTACAACGATCCACTGTTTTTGGGACACTCGAGCCTTATGTGTTTTCCATCCACCTATAATAAGTTTAATTCCATATAATACAGTATGCTATAGAAATTTGAAATTTATATTTATTTTTATTATAAATAAAAAAATTTGGAACATTTTCTTAAAATTCGGTAAAATCATGAAGTATATTGTTTTTAGCATTAATGTTGTAAAACAAATATATGATGAGACCATATGTTATTTAATTTGAATGTAGAACGATTYCCCTAATTTATTTTTAGTAGATAAGATTTTTCCCTCAGTAATCTAATAGTTATAATTAAAAAACAGGGAACTCGATCTGTTGTGTGTAGTATAGTTGTCGAGTGAACCCCGTCTTTGTGATGGATATAATAAATTGAAAAATCATTGTATTTGAATAAAAACGTTTCCGAACGGAAATTATTTGTCAGCCTATAGGRTAATTCTTACGAGTTTTATTAAAATTCTAATTTTAAATGCTCAATTAAATAAATTTGTTTGTATTTGAACTTCAAACACTTATTAAAAAAAAAATGTGCCTATGCATTTGAATAATTTTTGAGTCACTCTTACATCAATCTATGTTAAAACTTGTATTACATTTTCAAGTATTTTCACTCAGTCAAAAATGTTTGATAGATGTAATACAATAACCGAAATAACTATAAAATTATAAAAATAAATAAAGTATAACACACATCATTGTATAATCAATAAAATGCATGTTTAAAACAATTATGATTACAATATTTTACAAAAATCCATTGAAATAATAATTTATATAGTTCTCACTGTTGTATTAGGTTATGAGCTGTAAAATACTTTTTGAGCATTGAATAATTTATTCAAATACTATTTTTCTTTCTAGTGTTTAAATGGCGTTTAAATATTTTTATATGGTTTTTATATAACGTGTATAATGTTTCATAAGTCTAATCTAAGTAGGTACACTAAGTATACAAATAAATATACGTACAGCACCAACAGTGTTTGGAAATTGAGTTTTTTCGTAGTAACCATCAGCTATATCCAGCCAGTCTTTTGTCGTAGTTTCTGTCATTTCCAAAGGTTTTAAAACTTTCCACAAAACATCACAAGTTTCCCGCACTATATTTGCCAAAAACTCAAAATGTAACGCTGTGAAATTCGTTCCAGTTGCCAAGTATCTAAAAAGATATTTTAAAAATTCATTTAATAATTATTATTAATTAATTAAATATATGATTCAGTAAATTAATTTGAATAATACRCAGTTCGATAACTGCAGATAACTATGATTTGTATTTATTTATTTATTTTTTATGTAGTCTAAGGTATTACGTTATCAATTTAGATTCTGTTAAATCAATTTTAATATTTTATTCACTTAAATTTGATCATTGAGCACACTTTTTTGTTTCAAAAGAACGTTAACTTTTTCCTACTTTGAAATTTAAACMACTAAAATCAGGCATTGCGTACAACCTCCAATTTTCTACTTTGCCTGTAACATATAATACTATAGACTTAAATATACATAAACATTACTACATTTATAAATAAATGAGTAATATCTCCATTAGGGGTATGTTTATATAATCAGTAATCATACTATTTRTACATAGCTATTACAATTGTTTTGAATTCGTCTCATTTAAATAATTAATATATTTGACATTTGTTTAAATTGATAAAAGAACTAAAGGCTAAATGGAAAAATATTTAAGACGCATACCGAAAAAAGTGCATACATAAATAAATGAAATATCTGAGGAGGAGTCTCCAGTCAGAACAAAAAAAAAAAAAATGAAAAAAATGAATGAATGAAAAAAATCCAAATTCTTTTGAAGACCAGCTAATTACTGCCTTGAGAGAACACCGAGCTCCAGAGGATCCAGTGACATAATTTCTCCACAAATAAGAAAAATTACAGAAGACCAGCGAAACAAAATTTATATTGAATTTTTACAAACAATTCAAAAATTAAAAATGTCTAATAACTCTGATCAAATCCAACCACAATTTGTTCCCTCATTCATTAATGATGTTACTTCTAAGCATTTGCAATATTCACATAACAATATCCACTCATACCCGACATACCCATTAAATGTTTGCTTACCAGCCACATTACCTTCTACAAATATAAACATGCCAACATACTACCAACCTTACATTACTGTGCCTCATACTTCAATTGGGTCAACTCTTGCACCATCAACTTCTTCTCACAGAGATACCAACATGCAACACACTCCACATACTCTATCATCTGCTCCTACTCTAGAACCACCCGTTAAATCAACTGATTCAACAAATGCAATTTTAAATCCAGAGCTTGTCAATCCATTCTATGAAAACTACCACTCAGAAAATACAAATTTACATATACTGTATTACTTTTGGCTTATTTAAATAAATTTAGTTATAATACTTCAAGAAGAGTATTTTGTTAAAAATTTCTTTATTATTTTCATATTTAAATCAACATATTATAACTTAAAGTAAAGTATTACATATTTGTTTGTAAATTTATTTTTTCATGTTTCATGTTAACCACATTATACCCATAACTAATTATTATTATTTAATAAAAACGGTTGTATAAATGTGATAGTGAATATTATTAACCTATTTACAATACCTAATTAATAATGATATTAATATGAATAATTAGTTAATTATGTCTAATAAAATATGTAGTCACTTATACAACATGCAAGAGTGCAAAATAAAACTGTAGAATGTATTATTAAATTAATTTGTTATTGCAATATGTATGTGTGCTAACCTCAAAGTAATTGTCATCCTTTCTTCTTTGGAAATTGGGATGCGCATATTCGTTATCTATTCGTTATCTGTTTTGTCACATATGGTCTAATTAATGAAATCTAAAAAAGTCTAAGTTGAGGTAGATATAGTATAGTTTTAATAAAAATATATTATTAAAAGTATGTATTTACATTCACATTTACTTATTGTGTAGTTTGTAAATTTTCATAAATTAAAGGCATTTTTATGAATAAAAAAAATTTTAAAAAAAAGTATGAATTATTAACTAAGATAATTCCATCTGCATTATAGATACTATTTGTTTTTTTTTATTTGTATTTAAAATTATTGTATAATAGCTATACTGGCTGATGAAACAAAAAATAAATTAATTAGTTTAACATTGTAGCTGTTTTATATTATCAACAATTTACATATTTTATGAATCAAATAATAAAGTCTTAACCTCCCCCTCCAAAAAAAAAAATAAATAAAAAATACAGAAAATTTCAGGAAAACCTAAAGCAAAAAAATTCTGTCCCCTCCGAATTTAAAACTCAAATTTCACCAATAGGTAAATGTATAGGTATCAAAAACATAATTATAAATTAAAATGGGTATGCCTCCAAAATGTGATAATCCATCATTAGTTATTATACTAGGATGTTTTTTTTTTAAATAAACTTTTTATCAATTTTAAATATTTTAACATTACACAGTACTTAATAATTTATGAAAATGTCGTGGGAGTACGGAATCAATATTAATACCAAAACTGCCTATATGAAGCCCCATTTAATTTTACCTAAATTAAAAAACTAGATCGTAGTATARTATATTATATTTAGTACAATATTTACTCACCAATTCAATGTACAAAATACAGTACACAGTATACAGTAGACCTGATAGGTAGTGTTGTGCAGTGTAGCGTTTTTGTGCTCCGTTATCTTCTTTTTTATTATCGCAAACCAGCTTATACTTCTTTTCGGTGCGTTATCTATAGTTATAATTTTACTACCGTAATTTCGTTCACGTTATTCACTATCATGGCAGACCAATTAAATKAAATTTTGGAATCATTAAAGGAGATCAAATCTACACAAACTAAATTGGTAAATGCTGTTAATGATCAAAGTAGAACCTTAAAAAGTTTTAATAAACGTTTTGATGATCTTAATAAAATGCTTGAAAAATTATCTAACGATAATATTGAGATGAACAATCGTGTCTCGGATGTTGAAAATAAAGTCAAAGCTTTATATCAATCTAATTTAACTACTCATAATGACTCTGATYGTGATATTATTAATGAAATCCTGGACAGACAATTWAGAGCAAATAATATTTTATTGTTTAACTTTCCAGAAAAATTATCGGAATCTACATCTCTAGATACTGATTCCGATCGGTTAAAGATAATATTCAGAAAACTTGATCTCAAATTTGAACCTATTAAATTASACCGCCTAGGTATTAAATCTAAGTATGACCGCCCGTTAACGATCACATTATCAGATCCAAAACAAACATTTGATGTTCTTCGGGCTTAGTCAACTCTTCGTACTTWACTCGAATTAAAAGATCTTCGATTCTCATCTGACCGTACATTTAAACAACGAGAAACTATGGCTAAATTACGACAAGAACTAGTTCAACGGCGTGAAAAAGGTGAAAATTACATTATTATTAAATATGTTAGAGGCAATCCTACCATTATCAAATCAAAAAACATATAAGATATGCACCGCTCAAAAATAATCTTATCAATAACTCTCAGTTAGATGTACATATTTATTATCAAAATGCTCGAAGTCTAAATAACAAAATCTCAAATACCAAACTCACTATACTATATACTCGTATTTATCATAACTGAAACATGGCTCACGGACACTATCGACTCATCTGAACTGGGTTTTCTTGGTTATTAAGTATATAGACATGATAGAAATAATTATACCAGTTCACTATCCAGAGGACCACCTCCTCTGGTTATTATCGCAGTCCGCAGTTCGTTCGTTTCTAATCGCATTATAATCCATAATAATAAAATTGAACTTTTGTTTGTTAAAATAACTCTTCCTTCCCATACCCTTATTATCAGTTCAGTTTATATACCTAACCGTTCTAATACTGGTGTGTACAATGAATATTTTGATTTTGTTGAAAATATCTTAGTTAAATTCCCTAAAGCTGATTTCTTATTATTAGGCGATTACAATCTACCTTCTTCGAATGTTTGTAATGCTGATTTATATTTTAATGATCAATTGTCGTATTTAAATTTTTTTCAGTATAACCATATTTGYAATKTGAAAAATGTTATTCTTGATTATGTTATATCTAATTCACTAAATATTAATGTCATATTAGACAACTGTCCTATTATTCCCGTAGACCTCTATCACCCTCCTCTTAGTATTGTTTATAGTCTAAAAAAATGTTGTAATTTAAAATTTGATGATTTTGTATTTAATTGGAATTCAGGTGATTATCTTTCTATTATATCTTATCTAGGATCCATTAATTGATCTACCTTGTTTAATTCTAATTCTAATATCAATGAAAACTTAGATACGTTCTACTATCATATCGATTATGCAATAAATAATTATATCCCTAAAAGCCGTAGACATAAATTTTGTTTCCCAATTTGGTTTAGTAATGAATTGAAAAAAAAATTAAAGAAAAAAAAAGCTCATTCCTATTTTAAGATTTTAAAAACCACCGTTTCATATACCTATTTTTCTGATATCCGTAAAGAATGTAATTATTTAAGATACCGCGACTTTAAAATCTTTATTAATAAGACACAACATTCAGTTAAACTGAACCCAAAATCATTTTGGAATTTTTTTCGATTACAGAAACCTATAAATCAATTACCCTCTTCTGTGTCATATAATGAGAAGGAGGCTAATACTGGTACTGATATTGTTAACCTATTTAGAGAACACTTTTCAAATGTTCATAAAAAAAGCACTTCAAATAATTCTGAAAAAATTTATTTTTGATAATTCTTCACTTAATCTTAACTCAATCAATATCTCCAAAATGGAAGTTTTCAACGAACTTTGGTCTATTAAGATAAATTTATCTTGTGGTTCCGATAATATTTCAGCTAGATTTTTTAAAGAAACCTCATTTATTTTATCAGATATTATAACTTTTTTATTTAATAAATCGCTCCAAACAGGTGTATTCCCAGATAAATGGAAGTCTTCTTATGTTACACCAATCTTTAAAAAAGGTGACAGATCTCAAGTTTCAAATTACCGACCAATTACTAAAAATTCAATCATCCCTAAATTATTTTCGAAACTTGTAAATAAAAAGATATTTCCCCTTTGCGAAAAAATTATTTGCAATGAACAACACGGTTTTCGACCAAAACGTTCATCTGTAACCAATTTATGTGTTTTCAAACATACTATCTTWAACGCTTTTAATGATAAAGCTCAGTTAGATGTTGTGTACACAGACTTTGAAAAAGCGTTTGATAGAGTCGATCATCAATTATTAATAAAAAAATCAGTCGGTTTAATTAATCCATTGCTCTCTTGGGTAAATTCTTTTTTAACTGATCGTACACAAATTGTTAAATATGAAAATTTCACTTCTAATATAATTAAGGTTGTATCTGGTCTCCCCCAAGGAGATCATTTATCACCATTACTATTTTCTCTTTTCATAAATGACATTGTTAAGGTTTTAAAACATTCGGATTGTTTATTACTTGCTGATGACACTAAGCTTTTYAAAATAATTAATTGTATTGATGATTCTAACAACTTTCAAATTGATTTAGATAACTTTAAAATAGTGCCACAAGAATGGTATGTCATTGAACATTAATAAATGCTCCACTGTATCATATTCATTAAAAAAATCCACTTTATATTTTGATTACTCCTTGAATAAACTTAGCTTATCCTATAATGATACTATCAAAGACTTAGGTGTGGTTTTTGATTCAAAACTGTCTTTTAATAAGCATGTTGATTACGTTCGTAATAAATCATTTATGAAATTAGGTCTTCTAAAACGCACTTGTATAGATTTCTACGATAGCTCAGCATTAAAAACTTTATATTTTTCTTTAGTCAGATCTCAAATAGAATATGCTTCA